AAGGCTGCAGCCATCTTCACAGGTTTAGCTTGCTCCAGCGCCCCCCTACTGCTCCCCTTCTGCTCCAGTGCCCCCCACACCGCCCCTTTTCGTTCTACTGCTCCCCTGAAAAATGAAATCGCCCCCTGGGGGGCATTATCGCCCACGTTAAGAACCACTGCTTTAAAAGACAGGATCATTCAAGAAGCAAGAGAGGGCCTTCTTGGTGGGTGTGCCCAAGCTCTTAAACCCTTTGTCAGGAGAAGGCAGCTATCCTTTCAGATGGCAGGCAAATATTTTTTTATTCAAGCAAGCCTTTGGAAATTAAGTGCCTCAAATTGTGTGTTTTAAAGGTAAGTTGTTGTTAGCTTTTCAAAATCAAATACAGTATTTTAAAGTGTCTTAATTTTAATATTGCAATGAATTTAATACAATGTTTTAATTTGATATTGCTTTTTTAATATTTTAATTTGCTACTGCTTTTTAACTATTTTGTAAGCTCTTTGATTTCTAACACTGGGTGAAAGGTGGTGTGTTAATATAATCAATCAGTCACTCAATAAAACGGTCTTTGCTGTTGGGGGCACTGGCTAAAACAAACAAGCCGCCTAGAGTGGTCCTCACCGACCAGATAGGCGGGGTATAAATTAAATAAATAAAATAAATAAATAAACAAAACGAATTCCAGCAAGGATATAAGTAACGTTTGGCTGGGGAAAATCAGATGCATAAATGTAGGATTGGTGATACCTGGCACAGCAGCAGTATGTGTGAAAAAGTACTAGGAGTTTTCGTAAAATATAAGTTGAACATGAGTGAACAGTCTGGTCAAGTGGCCACACAAGCTAATGCAGCCATAGACTGCATCAACAGAACCATAGCATCCAGATCAAAACTGTTATAGGACCACTCTATTTCAGCTTTGTTACACCTCACCAGGAGCATCAGCTCTGTCATGACAGATTGAAGCCAATGTAGAAGACCCACTATTTACAATTAGATTCACCCTCTGTCTATTCAGTATCTTCTGGTTTCTCTGTTCTTTTTCCCCACTGCCAGCATTAAATTTAATATATTCTGTGCATAGTAGTTACCTATCAACATATATATCTTGGTTCATATATCTAAACTTCTTAGCAGGAAGGGACACTGGATTCAGATCAATCCTGAGCCAAATCAGGGGAAGAAAGATGCTAATCCTCACAGAGAAAGAGACAGAAAGAGGTTCTCGAGCTCTTATTTCTTGTAAATACTGTATGTGATTCCTGGACAGAATAAGTATGACCCCTTTAAAGATGAGGTCCTATGTAAGGGTAGGAAAGTTGATTTTTAAAAGTTAATTCATTGCACCTATTGTTCTGAAGCCAAAAAAGTAGTTGGCTACCATTGCAGTGGCAATTGCTAACAAGTAGTTTTCTTCATTCTCATGTTTCCCAAAAAGACAGATAAAATTTAGTTTTTTTAGGAAATGAATGCTACAAGTTGCTGCAGTAAAATCATACTGTTCTGTCCACATTGCAGTCTCCTGAACACATATAACAGCATAAGACAGCAGTCCCACAAATATATAGGGAAGTGTCCTTAGCAGCTGGCTTGGGGAAATCCAATCTTCAGCAAATTCAGAGGGATTCTGGAGGAGAGTTGGGGGAAGCTTCTTGTGATTTTGGTGTCTCTAGGTGCCTGGGGGGGTGTGTGATTAAAAAAAATCACTAAAATACATTGATTCGTTTTCATTGGGGGCATTGACCTCTGGGTAGAGTGGGCGGCATATAAATTAAATAAATAAATAAATAAATTGACTCATACAAACACAAATTGATGAATTAGCCATTTTTGAACAAGTTTCATGATTTGTTTTTTTTAAATTGCTGCCTATCTCTACATACAAGGATAGGCCCTTTTCTAGGTAACTCATTTCATAAGGTCATCATGGGTGACTTGATAGCACATAACAAAAGCAACAACATATTTATGTAGGAGGAAGAGACAAACAAGGATTTTTACCCCAGCCTAGGAAGTTGGCCCTAAGGGAAATCTGTCCTGTGACCCCTAAATGGACTATCCCGTGCACCCTACATGGACTGTATTGTGTTCCCTAAGCTACTCTGATGCCCATATTTGTGGTAGAGACACTAGGAGACACTAGAGATACAGGAGGAGTTCCAAGTTTCAACTACCAGTCTGGATAGTGTCTCTATGTAGAAAGGGAGGACCATGTCCTTCACATGGGTTAGCATAATATATATGGTCTACCCATGAGGAGTTAAGTAAAGATATGAGCCAGTATCCTGCTGAAATGTCCATGTCCTGAATGGGAGTTGTACGAGCTGCTTGAGCACTTGGTGGAGTATCTTTTTCATGACTGGTTGTAGGCTGGACATCTTGCCAGATGTTGAAAACTACTCATGTGATTACCACTGTGCGTGTGGTGGTAATAACAGGAGACTGGCCGTGGCTTTTTAGGAAGGTGTTTGGAATAGTTTGATGGATGGTTCGGTTTTTCTCTTCAGTTATTGCACTGGATTTTTCCCTCCCCTTTTTAATCTGTTGTTGTTTTAGGGGTGGGGTTTTTAATAGCTGATTAATTTGCTCTCCTATACGGCTGTTTCATTTTTATTATTGCTTTTATATTGTTGCATCTGATGTAGTCATGAATTTATTGTGATTATGCAATTTCCTTTTGCTTCTGTCATTCATTCTGGTTTCTTTCAAAATCCAGATGATGATGATGATGATGATGATGATGATGATGATTATATACAGTAAGGGATGTTACAGTAAATCTGGAGGGGCAATAAATGTAAAGAGAAATGTAGAGAAATGTGATGGAGAGGGATGGCCAGTATCACTGCAAATATCACTGACCAAAATATGTAACACGCCAATTGGTGTTTTGCATTGCCCTAGGCTTCTCTGTGCTCCAGTAGCAAGCAACTAGAAATGTATCTGTTCTTTGCCACACCGGCTTAGAAACACAGAGAAGTTGATGGACACCACAGTAGTCCAGATGAGAGCTCAACCAAATGTGAACTACTGTGGACACATTCCCCTGTCCAGGCAGAGTCATGACCAGTGAACCAGCCTATACTGATACAGGGGACTTCTAATTGCTTATGGTACCTGAGATTCAGCTGACAGCTGGATCAAGAAGTACCCTCAAGCTGCTGATGTGCTTTTTTAAAGGGGTGCACAAAACAGTCTATAGCCGGCTGTATGCCCAGTTCTCAGATATCCCGCTTCCAAATATATGAACTCTTGATCTGTCAGTTTAATTAGCAAATTTTGGTAATTTGTTATAAACACACACACCCCGAATCTAACAAAATTCTCTACCTCCTGCACTGGCCAAATTTGAAAAATGCAGTGATTCCCACAGGGCGAATTCCTGCCTTATACCTGTCTCCCATGTAGCTATTAACTTGCACCGCAAGCATGGTTGAATACACAACAAATCCATTAGTTTTAGTGTCTCTGACATTAGAAACTGTAAATTCCAAAAGTCTGTCATTCTCATTTATGGAGATGATTGTGAATTTTGGAAGGATCTTTTCAGAAAGCAAACCCAATGAAATTCTCACACTAATTGCTTGTGGAAAGCATGCCTGTTATTGTAAGGTCTGGGAACCAATTTGTACTCACCCACCCACCCACTCTCGTCTTTTGCACCATATTCTGTCTCTCTGTCCCAGTGTTGAGAAGAGATTCTCTCTCTCTCTCTCTCTCGACTTTAACTGACCAAAAAGCCCAATTGTCAGACACAGCTTAGGAGCAACGAGAACCTTGGGGAATGGTAAAAATGGGATGTTCCACCTTGCACAAACAATATTATAGCAGCATGCCCATAACAACCAGACACATTTCCTAGGCATCACAACTTGTACCTATGTAAGAATAAACATGAATACAATGTTGTTATGATTAGAAGGATCTTTTTTCCTTTCTTTTTCTGAACTCTGGTGCCTGCAAAAGTCAAAAACCTGAATTTAAGGGAATTTGCTTCAGTAAATTACTTCACAACAGCATTGCAATTTCCATTTGCACATTGCTATTCTTTGTGTTATGACACTGCTTGGATAATTAACCACACTTGAACTTCAACTTGTTGTGCACTTTATGTTTTTTTGTAATCCAGCCATAATTATCCAGAAATGCTCGCTTCTCCTATTACTAATCGTTGTTGATTTGGGCCTACCTGGAGAGGGACATCTGGTTCCATTTCTATGCTTGGGATTTTTTCATTCCACAAAGTAAATTTTTTTGTTTCAGGGTCAATGAAATAATCAAAAACCATCCCTTGGGAAGGAAATTTTACTGTTCGCATCTCTTTGATCCACCATCTACTAAACTCCATGCGATAGTCAATTAGCTGGAAAACAGAACAAAATGAAGCCAAAAATTAAACTATGGAAAGAGGCATTCATCTCACTCTGAACATTATGCGGAAATGGAAAGCTTAGCTCATGGTTTAGAAACTGGAGCATTTGAAAGTATTTCCCCGAAAAATGATCTAAACCAATTTAAGCTTTGAGCAACAGCTTAAAAACCATAGGAAATAAACCTATTCAGCTTGCAAACCTCTTTTGTTTGAGAATGGAAATATTAAGGCCACAAATTCTTTTATAATAATTTGCTGAAAGTGACACCAGAGACCCTGGAGATGCATGACAACCAAAGGAAAGTGGCCATAGAATTTTCTTTTCCAATTAATGCTGCAAAAATACCACTCAGTTAACATGAACGTAATATACTAGTGGAATAGTCTCTGTCGATTCCAGCATAAGGGATGGATACCTAAGGGATTTGCTCAGTCCAAGAACCAAAGTGGATTCACCCTAATCGACAACTCTAACAGGCAGGAAGGATGGTGTTTGGCCACTCTGGAGTCTGGGCTATCAGTGAATTCCATGAGGAGATGCTCTGGCAGCCATTCTCAACGGGAGCCATATGGCCTCCTGACACACTTGAAGTGGGCCAACAAACTGGAAACAATTCTTTACACACCACCGTATAAGGTTTGTTATGTGATTTATACAATCCTGATTCAGTCTATATTACTTTCATGTTGTATTTATGGCCACAGCCAAAAAAAGATTTAGAATGGCTGGTCTATGGGATCACCAATGTATGCCTTCCTCTTTGCAGATACTCAATGTCTTGAGGAAGTGGCCCATCTTGCATGCTTTGCGAAGAGTATTCTGTTGGGAAATGTCAACATGAAATTTACACAGAGGAGTGCTCTGTCTAGCATTACGTATGACTGTTCCTTTTCTAACATTGTACAGAAAATACCCACTGAAAACAAATGATTTAGATTGCCACTTTTTTGCTATACGCTAACTGTTCAGCATCTGGATCCAACACAGAATAATCTTTTGGCATCTTTATTTAATTTAGATTTTTTTTAAAAAAAATCACCATTTTGTGATTAAACGCGGTTAATACAGACATTTTTCTTCCCTTTTTTTCTTGTTGAAAACATATCAGACACTCTTTCTGTCAGACTTGTACACCAAAATATTGTAGGTTTCCTCAAAATCAAGCAAATATTTTTTCTATCTTAAAGGTTTAAAAGTTTCATTTTGCATAACCAAAGCACTTGAGGAAGTGAGTTAGAGTTCATCTGAGGGGGGGAAAGTTCATCTTTCAGATGCCATAAAAGTCTTTGTTGGTTTTCTTGCAACAGATTAAGTTGGAAATATCGTTTCTCAAAGCAAAAGGCCTCACCTGATCTTGAAACAAAGCACCACCAAAAGCCCATACACTTGCAAATGCAAAATATATCTCGTAGAGCTCCCGAGGAGAATCTGGTGGAGTATTCTCTGGGGTCAGGAGGCAATCCAGCAATGAACAGAGAGTCTCCAGTAAAAAAGGGAGTGAGGGAAGAACAGAGAGATGTGAATATAGTTCCTACAGCAGCTACATATTTCACAATGTTAACCATATAACAATCAGGATAGTTTGAAATGCCATGGGCTGAGTAACGCTCCAAATCTAAAACTTGCTTACTATCTTGATTTTGTTCATTTCTTTCTTTCTTTCTTTAAATATTTTACTCTGCCTCTCCTAAAAAAGGATTCAAAGTGGGCTACAATATTTAAAAAATGAGCAGCACAACGGTCAAAACAACAACAATAATGTATTACAGTATTTTAAAAAGAATTGAAGAAATATCATATTAAAAATTCACAGTTTAAAAAGTACAACAAACATTAAAAACAACAAATACTAAACCTCCCCATTTTAAACCATCCCCTCAACTGAAGTCAGTTGCTAAAAGAAAGCCTGCCTGAAGAGAAAGGTCTTCACCTGCTTGAGGAAGGAGACCAAAGATGGGGTCAGTGGGAGAGAGTTCCAAATTCTGGGAGTAGCCACAGAGAAGGCCCTCTCACATATCCCCACCAAATGCACCTGTGAGATTAGACATCTCCAGAAACGGGCACAGTTGGGGTGCCAGTTGTAACTGTGTAAAAATGCACTCCCGGCCACCACCAAAACCTGAGCATCCATGCTCAGGGATGAAACCAGGAGTACCCCCAAGCTGTGCGGATGTGTAACCCTATCCAGTGCAGGATGTATTCTTATTCCATGATCTTTCGACTAACTAGGAGCACCTCTGTCTAGTCTGGATTAAATTCCATTTTCTTCACCTTCATCCATTCACACCTGTCTAAATCTTTGGCTGAAGCCCTTGGCAATTCAGAGCTTATTCCAAGATTATTCACAGAAGGAATAGCCCACAAAGGAAAATCCACAAAGACTCAATCCCACTCAGGCCCATTGTAAGTGCCATTGGCTCCCCGACATATGAATTAGCAAAATACCTAGCCACCCTCCTACAGACCCACATTGGACAAACCTCATCCTACATCAAAGAGGACATTTCATAAACAAGAGCAGCACCCTAAACCTTCACCCCAGCGACAGACTGATCAGCTTTGACGTAGTACTGTATCCCTATTCACCAAGGTACCGATAAAGGACATTCTGACACTCATCTAGCAGCTCTTTCCAGAACACATCAAGGCCCTTTTCCAACACTGCCTAATGACCAGCTTTCAGTGGGATAATTATTTCTATGAACAGACAGATGGAGTGGCCATGGGGAGCCTCCTCAGCCCAGTTATAGCAAACTTCTACATGGAACATTTTGAAAAACAGGCCCTGGCTTTGGCATCCTTCGCACCCACAGTCTGGTTCCGATATGTGGATGATACCTTTGCAATTTGGAACTATGGTGAAGAAAAACTGCAAGAATTTCTAAACCATCTCAGTCGCATCCACCCAAATATACAATTCACCATGAAAAAAGAAACAGAGGGCCAACACCCTTTCTTAGGTGTCATGGTCGTACACAACCCTGACTTCCTATTGGGACACAAGGTCTGCAGAAAACCCACCCACACAGACCGGTACCTGAACACAAAAGACTAGCTAACAACACCCATCAATCCCAGTGACATATCATCTCCCCCCCGCCTTTTCACAACAATACACCCATAACAAAAACATCCTGGTCACCATAATCACCCAGTCTCCTGAAAAGGACAAAAAGCTGATCCCACAGCTACAAATACTCAGCTAACCCACACACTACACCAGAACACAGAGTTCTAACTCCTGTCCTCTGAAGATGCCAGCCACAGAGACTGGTGAAACGTTAGGAAGAAAAACCTTCAGCACATGGCCCAACAACCTGAAAACCTACAACAACCAATAGCCCATCTCCTTTATAAATCTGGCAATTGTTCTGATCCTAAAAATTATGAACCTATCACCTGTTTACCTACAGCTTACAAGTTGTTTACATCCATTACTTCCCAAAATATTTATAGTTTTCACAAATGCAGAGACAGACAGACCATTCTAACAAACCAACAGAGGGGCTTCATTAAGACCTATTATGGCTGCAAAGGATTCCTCAGTATTGAGGCCTTCCTGTTGAACCGTGCTTGAGATTAGTCCAGAAATGTATCAGTGGTTTATATTGGTTAGCAAAGGGCATTTCATTCTGTGACCCACTGATGGCTTCCTGAGATTTTGAGGATTAGCAAATCAATAATAGAATTATTGCTACTATCCACATTTAAAATTAGGTGGAGGACAAAATTAAGAGTCACTTTACGTTGCTGCTTCCAGAGTTGACCTGTCAACATGGTGCCCTCATTGCTCAGGGGACACTCCTTCCAAGACCCCCAGCCAAGGGGCTGGGTAAGACTGATGAAGAGAGATGTTCTCCCATATTAAGTTAGGCTTGAGAAAATATATTACAGTTGACAGATATTCCTAAGCAAATTTACAGCAGTCTCCTAGAATGACTTACTTCTTACCTAAGTGTATATTAGAAAAGCATAAGGAAGCCCTTAGTGAGCTGTGCTTAAGCTATAGGTCAGCACCTGCTGGGAGAAGAAGAGTAATCTCTGAATAATATCCTGAAAATAAGTCATATGATGGAGTTTTCTGTTAGCACTCTTGAACACTCTTCCTCCTTCTTGTACAGAATCTATAAAGGCGAGTTTTATTATTAAACAAAGATGCTTCTAAAGACTTTTGGAAATTAAAAAAACCACCAAATATTCTTTACCACTATTGGAGTGCAGCTGTTTTAAGCATGTGAATGATTAAAAAAAAAGATATGTAAACCCGATGTCGCTGTGCTGTTCAAAAGACCCACATCTAAGATTGGCAGTTTGTATTCTGTCTCTCTTTTATGCATCACCACAATTTATTTTGATTTCTGGGTTATTTTTCTGGCTTTGTTTTTCTCTCATAGGAAAACTATTTGATCCAGAACGCTTAAAGATACTGATGTAAATAAATAAAACACCAAACTTCATCTAAAAAGCATTATAAATTGCTCAACTTCTGCATTCATCCAGAAGTGCATATGGCATTGTTAAAATAATACAAGGAAGGAGGGGTTTGCATGAATCCCCAGCTGTGCCCTAAACTCTCTGTAATAATTGCAGTCATTTTGCTGGAGTATCTTCACATCACAGACACATCTGTCCAGATGCAGAAGTCTGTACATCACCTGAGAGCTGAACACAGGAAGCATCAACCAGGTCTTAGATTCTTAATGGAAACATGGATATTCTTGATATGTATATCAACACCTAGTATATTGGTAGTTACCTGTGATTAGGATCCATAGTCTTCAAAGAGATCAATAAAGAGAACCACATTCTCTAAATTTCAGTCAACTGCCAATATCTTAAGAAATTTTACACACAAAACTTCCTGACAACCCAAACAAACATTTTAGTTTTAGCAGAAGAACAGCAGCCATACTTTTTAAACTTTAGCTTGACTTTTCCTCCTATAAATCCAACATGTGGCGACCAATGGTGTGAGCATGTTTAATGCAAGCCCCATGAACATCCATGTTCGCGATCAGCCAAGGAGGTGAAACCTACTCACACTGTGTTTTCAGAGTTACTCATTGATCATTGTACGCTAATTCATATCAGGCTGACAGATAAAATGTAAATCACAGTGGGAAAAGCTCCGCAGTGGGAAGAGCTTCAGCCCTTAATCAACAAGAAAAAGCATGCAGAAAGGACAAATACCGGTAGTAGAAATTGTGCCAAAGAAACAGTATTTTTAGGAGTATGGGGGGCAGGAATGGTCAGATTGTAAAAAAGTGCCTATTCTTTATTCTGCCATCATCAACAACTTGACTATAGAACCACTTCTCTCTCTTTTTTTTAAGTCAGTGAAATTAATTTAGAGGATAGCATCAAACCTAGACCAGGCTTGATTTGTGTCTGCTTTGTTACCTGAATCATTTTTAAAAAATCAAATACACCAAAAACCACGCTGTGATAATAATGAAGTTCCTTCATCCCGGTTCTGCATACTTGAACACTCTCAAAATCATATCTCAGGAAGAGCATCAGACTGAAGATCCTACCGCCGTTCTTGTTACCTGTACCATGCTGTTCTCCGGAATGGGAGTGATGGTTTTTAAGTTGCAACGGACTTGCTCCAAGCAGTAAGGAACATATTTGTCAAAGAGGATGGTTAGGTTTGCTCTTTCAGACTGTGCTTTGCGAGTCTCAATCCAGCTAGTTACGTATCTGTGAAAACAAAGGGACCTTAAGCGTCCTGTTTGCTTTATTCTTACTTCTTTCACTGTAAAGGTTGTAAGAGAGGAAGTTTATCAGGGGATGAGACAATTGTTCCAGAAGGCTGTATAGTACTTTCAGGATGTTTCCTTTGCTTATTACATTGCCCCTGTTCTAAACTACAGGGCATGCGTCCAAAGTACCTCCTTCTGCTAACTAGTTGTGAAGGACCACAGGGTTTAGTGGCACTAACAGTCAGACTGCAGTTTGAAAAATCATTTTTCTAAAAATAACTCCTGCCCAAAGAAAACCTTGTGACACTTTCAAAATAATTTAAAAATATTACAGAAAACCATCTCCCCATTGTCTAGAAAGTTGAGTCATGGCAGCTGGACTTCTTCCTTGTTAGGTTGAAATGTTTCGCTACTCCTCCTCTTCAGTCTGAGGCGAGTTGGTAGGAGACCCCTGACCTGTTGGTTTCACTTCCCCCTGATCTGAATAGGCTCATTAGAAGAACAAAGGAATGGGGTGAGGGATAATCCCACTTCTGCAGTCCTTCTCCACCCATTGTCATGGGTCGTTAACAGTCATTAACAGTGGTCTTTCTGCTCGTGTGGTCCTAATCTTTCTGGAGACTGATGAAAGGGCAGCATGATAAATAGGAGACTGATTGTATCTAAGGCCTCCACCCCTCTTGAGTCAGGGATTTTTCTATATGCACATATATGGCCTCAAGTCTTGGTTCTTGTCATTGTTTGTCACTGGTGATACTGGTTTAAGTTTTACATCATTCAGGGACCAACCAGAAACATTTTGTGGAGCAAATGCTCCATTTGGAAGATGTCTACTTTGGTCATGTATCACTGCTGGCATAAAGTAACTAATGACTGAGTCTAGTAAATTCCACAGAGGTAATTTCTCCCCCTGAAATTTGAAACAGATTTTTTTTTTAAAAAAAAGATACAGCACCTTAACAGTGATGTGTTGAGAAAAAGAGCAAATGAAATTAAAAACGGAGGAATTGCCATTTGCGTGCTCTCTCCTCACTTAATCTTAATATTTCTGTCTGGGGTTTTCCCCACATGTGGCAACAGGATTTCACCTCAACATTTATCTTCCTCTCTTGGTTATCCTGACCAGTTCCATACAGGCCTTGCTTGCGACTCTCATAGGATGGGTCTCCCTCTGATTCAGGCACAAGGGAAGCCAGTTGATACAGACTAAAATAATCCATTTATCTTAACTCAGCATTATTTGTCTTGGTTAGCACTAACAGTGACTGAACTTCAACAATTTTTGCATGCATTCCGAAATAGATTTCCCCATTGCTCTCACGGGCTACATCTACAGTATTAATTACATCCATGTGTGAAACCTCACTGGTGAGGTCTCTTGTACTGGGCTGGCTTCTGTTTAAGGAAACAGCTGGTCATTTAATGACATCCATCAAGGGTGCCAATGAACGGGAAGAATCTGTTCAGCAACTCTTGAGCCAAGAGTGCAATGCAGCAGGAAAGAATTACTACCCCACCACCAACCCCATAACTATTTGTCTCAAGATGGGTCAAGCCTTTGTTCCTTCTTGTACTTACGGGTTCCAGCCCAGGTCTTGCGTATTCACGTAGAGGATGCCAGCTCTTGATACAGTGGCTGGAGTTGCTGCCCGGAGATGACTGATTTCAAACACGAGGCGCATGGAAGGCGTCAATGAAATCCGTTCATTACTTGCTAGAGTTAGAACCTAAACACAGAATCAAGACGCACATTTGCTTCAATAGTGATTTGCTTTTCAAATTAAGTCATTAAGGTTCTGATTTGGAAAATAAACAGAATCACAGAACACAGTTTTATCTACAGCTAATACACGGGAATATGATTTTTCTTTCAGATGAGCGCTCCAGCTACTTGTCAGTTTAAATAATATCCTTTATCATTATGGGTATCCATGATGACATTCAGGAAAACAGCAGAAAGATGAATTAGAGCACAATCAAATAGGAAGGTCTCCCTGCATAAGATGTTTTAAAATTAATGGGAGTAATATTGTTCTACTGTTGCGCAGGGCCATTTATTTCAGTGATGTGGCTGCAAAAAACTTGCCTACTTGATAATTCTCCGATTCATCCCAGAGCAGCCCCGTTGGTCTATTACAGCAGAAAATAAAAGTGTTGTGGTTCCATACCAATGAATTTGGTATCATCATCATCATCTTGGAACTCCAGGGCTGGAAGGCACCCTATGGCTCATCAAGTCCAGAAGGCCAAGTCAGGAAGGCACAGTGGAGGATTGAACTCCCAACCTCTTGTTCTGTAGCCAAATACTAAACTACTGAACTATCCAGCGGTTCTAGCTTTTGTGGGCTGTAGATTGTTGAATCTGATGACGCAGTGTGCAGTGCTAAAAAGCTTGCGTCAAAGTTATTTAATTGTTAAGGTGTTGACTGGTTCTTCTCTTAATTCATTACTTGTTTGTGGAGACCCATACTGTTCAGCATTTTGTTGGTGTGTGTGTGTGTGTGAATTCCTACCAACTTGCTCAGCAGTAATCTTAAATAAGCAAAAAGCCATGAAATTTTACCAGCCTGAACACTGGCTTGTTAGCCTTTCCTGTTAATGGAGGAGATGCGGTTTGTATTAGAATAACAGGATGAAGGCAAGACTTTCCATAGTCACAAATGATGAAAACAAAAACTATAGAACCATATGAAAGCTCATGAAAGGATAAGAAATGCATTCAATGGCATTAACTGCAAAATAGCACAAACAATGTGATTAAATGGTCGGGAAATCAAACCAAAGTCTTATAAGCAAGCTGTCTACAAAAGCTCTTACCGGTAAATAATTGAATGAAACTGAGAAAGTCACAAGGCTTTTCTTTCTGTGTTCAGTTAAGAGTTTGATTAAAAAAAAAAAGGTGTGTGTGTGAAAGAGCATCTTCCACTGAATCTGTTTATGGGTGAAAGGGAGACAGCAAACTGAAATGGAGTTTGAGATGATTCTGTTCAGGCTGAGGTCAGTGGCAGCTCATGGGACAAGGGGGGGGGAACCTCCCTCCTAATATGGCGCAGAGCTGCCTGTGGCTGAAGAGTGCATTAGAGAAATACATTAAAATGCATTGTTATCGTCAGCTAGAATAAAGAGATTAATTTTGTGGGGGGAAAGCAAAGAGTCTGTGGCACTTTAAAGACGGTCATGTTTGACTTGGTGCATGCTTTCATAAAGATTGGTTGTGATGGAAGTGAAAATAATCACTCTACCAAAAAATGCTAGGCAGGGTTGGCTGGGCATTAGGTATAAGCAACATATTTGGGATTGCAGCAAATGTTTGCGTATTCATTTGTTATTGTTGTATTTTAAATATCAGGAGATGTGCGGGCTTTTGTGTCTTGGGTCTAAAAGCAACTTCACTGGCTTAAGTATCATGTGCTGTGACTTTGAGGGGGAAATAGATGTCATGTGCTGCTCTGCCTCACACAGCAAAATGTCTTGTGCCTGGTCTGAATCTATGAGATTCTCCGAGTTTCAATGTAATGATAAACCATGGTTTGATGTGACCTGAATAATTGTAAACCTTGTGACTTCTCGCCTTCCGCTGCCTTTTGCCCTTATCCACTGAATTCCTCCTGCCTTTCTTCTTTTGTAATATACTATATTGACTGAATTGGATGAAGGATGACATTAAGCTGTCCATGGTTTCTATTTCTTCTTTGATGGCAAACCATGGTTTATGCAAAACATATATTAATTTCTTTATAGAAAGTGGTAAACTTGTTTCACTTAGAATTATGGAGAGGATGGGGCAAAGGAGGAAGGAGTGAATGGGCTCATGTTTTTTCCCATGTAACACCTATGGCCATGCTTTGGCAATACATTTGAACTGCACAACAGGAATCACCTATGCCCTAAGTGGTTTAACAATTATCCAAGAAAAATCGAAAGGTGCAATTTTGTATGTGGGAGCCCTCTGTGATCAATCACATTGAGCTCCCTGGGACTTCCTCCCAGGTAAACAGGTAGGGGTTCCTTTTCCATCCTAGAGCTGAAAGGATTCCAACGGTAAACCTTCCAAAAGAATACGGCTATTTCAAGATAAACAAAAACATTTTTTAAAAATTCATAATATTTCGGTGGTGAGATCGAGGAAGACGTGATGGCAACATTCAAGCCTTGGAAAATAGGCCACACAAAATATGTTGTGCAGGATCCAATATGATACAACAAAGCTGGGCCTGGATAACCTGTTCCAGTCTGATCCATTTTTATCTTGTATGACTGTACTTGCCATCAGGCACCATTCTTCTGGTGCTCCAAAGGGGCAGGGCAACTCAACACATCCCCTACTGAGCGCTTTAGCTTAAAAGCTACAATAGAGTCCTTAGAATCTAACAACAAGAGCTATTCTAGGAGCTGGTTAGGAAAATGTGATTTAAAGGAGGTTTCTACCATTGTGCGAAATTAGGGCAAAAAAAAATCCCTTTTCAATTTGCACAAAGTATCTCAATTCTAACAGTTTGCTCTCCTGCTGTTGTATCCGTCATAAAGAAAGACTGAGATACTATACTGAAGAAAGGTGACATTTTAATCAATGAAGATTAATACACATGCACACACAAAATACAAAATGATTCAGATATCTGCTCCTCCCACTTCCAAAGCTGAACCATGACCTTTCCACTTTTACTCTGCATTTCATTTTAGTTAAAGAGACATTTGCTTTACAGAAGAGGAAGAAGAAGAAGAAGAAAAGAGTAGTAATAACTTAAATGGGTACTGAGAGCAAGACTGGGTCATCATGGTTTATATCTATCATACAATCAAAAAAAGTCTGTTATTCTATTGAGGATTTTATTATTGTCTTTAAAGCCCAATTATATTACAGTCAGTTCACAGTGGGTTGGCCAAAGGTAACCTTTTTTGTCTGGCGTTCTTTGATTTCTGTCTTTTATATGAAGGATCCTTGGTCATTGCCATACACAACAAATGATCACAAATATTTGTCTAGTAAGCTAGGAAAGTGAGATCAAACCTACCATTAGGGAGAATGAGGTGGCTACCTTAGGCAACAGATTGGAGATGGCATGTAGGAATTTGTTAATTTACTGCTAGGGATGAGGAGAAGTGCTTGTGGGTCCTGGGTGCCAAAATTTTTTGCCGACCTTGGGTATTCTGCACCTTGTTTTGAGTACAGTGGACCCTTGACTTACAGATGGCTTGATTTACATACTTTCTGAGTTACAGACTTCTCTGGCCGCAAAATTTAGGTTTGACTTGCAGCCTGAGATTTGACTTACAGACCAGAAAAAAAACAAAATGGAACATAAACGGCCTGTTACGGGATTAATCGGTTTTCAATGCACTGTAGGTCAATGGAGACTTGACCTACAGACTTTTGGACTTGAGAACCGCCTTCCAATACGGATTAAGTTCTCAAGTCAAGACCCCACTGTATCTAGGTTTCCCATTTGCTCCTGTGCCTCAGGCAGCAAAAATTCATGGGGCTGGCCCTGCCAGAGAAACATAAAAGCACTTCCCTTGAGCTTTGAAAGAGGTCTAACAATATTTGTAGTGTGTACATTATCCAACGATCATTTATTTACAGACGTTTGTGTTGTTTTGAAAATTCCCAAAACTAATTGACTAGACATGTTACTAAAATAATAGGTGTGCACACTTAAGGATGCGATGCCTTCATGTTCACCTAAAATATTTGTATTTTACCTTTACACTTTGTCCAAATAAACAAGCAATTTTTAAACACAGCACACAGAAGTGCCAAAGATCAAATCAACCAAACCAAATCCGGGTTAAGAAGCAGCCACCAGTGAAGGGCAGGGAGAATAAGACAGACTTAACCGGACAGTTTTAGCGCTTAAGAATCAGCACCAAGTGAATGTTTCTGCGGTAGATGTCCTCATAGGTAGAGCATCTAGACACCCCACCTAGTCGGTGAGGCCAAGGACACTCAAAACAGGGCCTGAAAAGGAACAGGAAGATTTATATAGGAAAATAAGGTTCCTCAGGTACATTTGGGGTGTAAAGGTTGAATTGAGCATTTGATGTTGTACCCAGAAACAAAATAAGAGTCAGTGGAGCTCTTTTAATGTTAGCTATCCAGATATGTTCAAAAGGGCAGGTCCTAGCTGCCATCATCTGCACCTTCTGAAGTTTCCAGCTGTCTTTCCTTAGGTAGCCCCTGGTACAATGCATTGGAGGAATCCAACATGGGTGTTTGTGAAACATGGCTAACATCAGACTGCAATGCGTCTTTCATCTGTAGGATATAAGCATGCCGGAAGGATTTGTTAAACGAAATTGGTGAATGATGTATACAGGGGGCATACAGGCATGGTAATGCATACATACAGTTAATGTCAAAGAACACCATTATTAACAATGTGGTTTTCACAAACCTTATTGTCGTCCATTACAGTGTTGAGTGACTCTATCCACATAGGATCAATGTCCCCATCCAGCACAATCCATTTAGGGCCGTCATGGGCAATGCTAGTCAATTCTCTCATGATGGATGAAAACAAGCCTTCAGTGTAATGACAGTAAACATACATTTCATTATGTACTGTATAACATTTACATGTTTTCTATGTGTCAATATCTGTACTTTGATTAAGAGTATTGTTTTTGGAAATACCATCTTTCCACTCCCTTGTTGATGGATGAAGAAACCCAAAAAGTTCATCCGTGGTCACAGCTTTCGGATTGATGTCATGCCATACTGGCCTCAGCTTCATGTTGGAGTAAGTCACGTGTAATGTCTTTAATATCTAAAGTTAGAACACAGTGTCATGCCAATTAAACAGTAGCATCAGCCACAACCACATGCCTCAAAACTGTTTTATTTTCTTGATCTGTGTTTCATATAGGACACAAAAGTCAACCTGGCTTTACCACTAAAATGTACTTTAGCCTGCCAAATATATTTGGCTGTCTGAGGTGGATGAGACAGTATCTGCTCCATCCTTCCACAGGGAGAAGCTAATTGGACTCCCAGATAATTTTTACTTCAATAATACAAATGAGGCAGTACTGCCCACTACCCAGGAGAGAAGCAGGCTAATTTAAGAGATCAGGACAGTTGTGACATACACTTGGCACATGTGGTCATGGGCAAGAAATCACTAAATCAACCACCATCTCATTCGGTCTAATGGCCTCCCAGCTGCAGACAAACATTGCTTTTTGCCATGATGTTGCTTCTGACTTACAGGGACCCTATAAATTAGGGATCTCCAAAATGCCCTGTAATTAACAGCCCTGCTCAGGTCTTGAAACTCAAGGCCTGGTATTCCTTTATTGAATCAATCCATCTCATAGTTAGTCGTCCTCTTTGCCTGCTGCAATCAACTTTTCTTAGCATTATTGTTCAGCAAGCCTAGTCTTCTCATGATATGCCCAAATGACAACAGCATCTGTTTAGCTGCTTCTAGAAGCCAATAATTAGTCCCTCGTAAATATCTTTATTTCATACATGTTTGCTGTATGAAACTAGCCATTGGACCCAGGTTAAATTCCAAGAGTACTACCCTTACCCCAATCCTCTGTCTCTTCTCTGTGCAACACCTTTTTTCTTTTGTACTTCTTTCACTCTTGCAGTGTCTTCCTCTCAGTACTCATTCAGCTTATCCAAGAAGCATTGCTCCCAGCATCCCCCACCCAGCATGACTTCTGGTTAATGAACACTTGTAGACCTCCCTTCATCCAGAGAATTACATCCTAATTCACAGTATGTACCCTTCTGAACTCAGCTCATTGAAATCTTTAAAATGATATGCCAAAGGACTATAGACCACAAAAATTAATTGAGGTGTCCCTAAGAACCCTCAAAGTTATTTTCCTGTATGCCACATAGCTTATATTCTAAGTGAGACTGGCCCAAAGGTGCCCTCCAGATTTGGTGAAAATCCATCTAGCTTTTCTGGCATGGTGTAATAACAAACAGATTCTCAAAAACCTACCTTTATATAATAATAATAATAATAATAATAATAATAATAATAATAATAATAATAATAATAATAATAATAATAATAATAATAATAATAATAATAATAGTTTTTAATGCCAATTCCGACTTAAGGTGATCCTTTTTCAGAGTTTTCTAGTTACAGACTACTCAGAAGTGGTTTCCCATTCTCTTCTTCTGGGGGCACCCTGGGACTGTACAGCTTGCCCAAGGCCACACAGGCTGGCTCTCCTGGGATGCTCAGTGTGGAATCAAACCTCCAACCTCTGGCTCTCCTTAAAATACATCACGTGACTACTGACAAAGTGCCTGTTCAGTAGTTTTCCTTTCTAACATCTTTGAAGCATTGTCATGGTGTACTTTCTACTGCCTTTTTCTTTTCTTTTTTTCCCCTTTAATTGGAATGACCTATGACAGGCATAAAAGGAATATATAGAAAACAGGAGATATTTTTAGTTATATGTCCTTTGCATTAGCTATTTGTACTTTGTTCTTTTGTACATAAGGAAATACATATAAATGTAGGATGGCTAAAATCAGTAAAGTTCCCACAGAAAAGTTAGCTATTAACCAGAATCCTATTAGTCACACTTGCCAGTATAACTCAATCAGCATAAATCTCAGGGGCAAACAGTCACAAGTTAAAGAGTCAGCGTAGGCATTTGTTGTTGCACACGGAGTCATGTGAATTTCTGGGTGATCATGTGACTATTATAAATGCCTACACTGCCTTTTAATTTACAGCAATTCACTGCTGAGGTTTATACTGATTATATTATGCAGCATGAAATAGTTATAGGAAAATAGTACCTATAATATAATGAGATGAAATCTATGGGCAGTTTGATCTACTTCTAGGAAAGGGAAAGAACTGTTATTTAAGCAGTTTAGTCCCATTGTCTTAAAAATAGATCTGATCCCCCAGGACTGATTTTTTTTCTGGACTATAGCCATGAACATGGCATTTGATGATATGGTAGCTCACTAACAATATTGGGTTGGATCCAAAGAAGAATAGTAGAAGTGCACAGCAGGCCTTCCTTTCCCTTGCCCCATGGGCCAGTGGACCCTCTGAAACGCCATGGGGGTTACAACAGGACAGAGATGGATGCTTTTCTGCTCATCAATGACTTCCCTGTTATTGAGAAAGCCAGTATTTAGCAACACACTATATCACATTTCTCCAAAGAAAGAAATGTGCTCACTCTGTTTTCACTCTTACTGCCTTTAGGCTCATTTCTGAATATTCTGCACGATTATAGTTAACTGGTGCATTCAAAGCACCACGCCTATAAAGCACATGTAGAAGGAAGTGCTGAAGCTTTGTTAGGAGCTCAGCTGTATGTCCCACAGATAGGCCTAGCCAGTGGTGGGATTCAACAGGCCAACAAACGGTTCTGCAGAACCAATAATACATTAGCTACCGGTTCTGTAGAACTGGTGCGAACCTGCTGAATCCCACCACTGGGCCTAGCCCTACCTTTATGAACAGTGAAGCGGCTGCTTCAGGTGGTAGATGCTGTGGGGTGAGAACAGCGACAGTTGAAGGGCACACACAGCTGATGTAAGTACTACACATTCTCAGTTTGGACTTCAAGTGGACAAAGGCTGCCAGCATTAAAGTAAAATACAGCCTCCAGTTGGGTCAGCTTCTGTACCAGGAATGGGGGATGGAGTGGTGTGGTATATTTTCCATTACCTCAGGTGGCAAAACATCTTGGACTAGCCCTACTCATGAGGTATTTCTGACACAACTCAACACAGGATGTTAGTCAAACGCATTGTAACCTGCATTACCAATTCATGCTCACTTTACTGCTCTTGAATTGTTGATGGAATCAGTGCATTCTTTATTTTACCTGGCTTTTCCCAGTCCCAGCATTTCCAGCCACAAAGACAGAGTGTCTGACAGCCAGTAGTTCTTGCAACTGCATAACCTAAAAGCCATCCAAGGGGGATGAGGGAGAGAAAGGGATATAATGGCAAACACATTTTACAGTCATTGCTAGACAATAAGAAAATGGGAGAATCAAGAAAAAGGATCAAAACATTTTTCTCTCTTATTTCAATAAACACTGACCCAATTTAATATCCCATTTCATTTTTTTAAAAATTGCTCATTCTACTCCAGGTGTCCCCAACCCCTGGTCCGTGAGCCGGTGCTGGTTTGTGGGCTTCGCAGGACTGGGCTGTGGAGACAGATGTCCTGCCTCCCCGCCCACACACATCGTGGGCGTGACGCGCTCGCGCACATGTGTGGGTGAGTGGACGTGGCACGTTCGTGGGTGGGTGTAGCACGGTCGTGTGCATGTGCATCCCCAGTTACCCGTGAGCATACCACACCCATCCGCACGTTTGCGCCCCACCCACAAGTGTGCCACGCTGATCCTTGAATGTGCCACGCCCATCCACAAGTGCGAGGGGTGCCCCTGCCCCCCTGTGCATGCATTCTATCCCCCCAACCGGTCCGCAGTTCCAAAACAGTTGGGGACCACTGTGTACTCTATTCCCTAGCAGTTGTACAGTAATATTTACACAACATTAAGCCATAATTCAGTTTTTACATCAATAGAGTTCCGCCTACTCGGTGTGATCACAGTTGTTAGTCTGGTATATTGCATTGGCTATAATACGTTGTTCATTATTTCCTTTAAATTTTTAGCTTGTAAATAAAGATATATCTATTCTAAAATGTGTCAGCCTCAGGTGGCTCATCACCCAGCAAGTGAAAAGCCCTCCCAGAAAAATTTTGGGGGAGGGTCCCTCCACAGACCACAGACAACTGCTTATGCCAGTTGTTTACGAATACAAATTAGTTCATTCAGACTTTTCAAAACTTCCACTGCCTTTTAGTTGTTAATAATGAACAAGCATCTTCAGCTTCCGGTTTCTGGACCTGTTTGTTAAAATTAATCATAATTACTGTTAACTACATTTCCTTATTCAAACGACATGGCTAATAGTGATGGGTTTTTCAGATATTTTTTGGACTACAAATCCCATAGTCATCCATCCTGAGAGTTCTACCTGACAGAAAGGCATTTTACAGGCAACTAAACATGGCTCGCCTGCGAGAAAGGCCTAAACTGGAACACTTGGAGGCTTAGCTAGGTCTAGCTTGATCTAGGCTTCCGGGCCTGGTGCTAGCTGGGATCTTTCTTTCTGAAGAAGAGTTAGCTAGGTCTAGCTTGATCTAGGCTTCCTGTTCCGGGCCTGGTGCTAGCTGGGATCTTTTTTCTGAAGAAGAAGCTAGGTGGAACTAGGCCTAGCTAAGCCTCAAAGTCTTTCTTCCATATAAGCCACATTTAGATATTGTAAGGTAGCGGTCCCCAACCTTTTTGGGACTTCAGACCGACTGAGCCTCTGAGGAAGGCAGGGCACCCCCCTGTACTTTTGGGCGCATGCGCTCGTGCTTTTGGGCACATGCATGAAGTGGTAGGGGAGCGCTCGTCTGCCTGCCAGCACCAGTGTGAGCGCTCCCCCACCCTTTTGAGCAGGAGCAGGAGCGCCTGCATGCCCGCCTACCCACCCCTTTGTGCAGGTGCTCAGGTGCATGCGTGAAGGGGTGGCGGAGTGCTTACGCCAATGCTGTGTGTGTGTGTGTGCAAAGCAGCTGTGGGGAGGGGAGTGTGTGCGGGGGGGAGTCTGTCTCCGTGGCCCAGTCTGGCTCAGGCCACAGACCAGCACCAGGCCGCGGACCAGGGATTGGCGACCTCTGTTGTAAGTTATCTGTCTCTTAGGTAGACAGCTATGTGGGAGGAAGAGACAAGAGAGAGAACTATACAAGTCCAAGGCTTGATGTAACATGTACATCTCATGCTGGCAAACCACGGGCCCACACATGCATTCTGAATTCATGAAATCTAACATAAAGTTAGCTGAAAGATAACAAGGTTTGAAAATGTAGTTGTTCCTCTATTTTAAAGGAGGCTTGTAGTTTGCTGGGAATTGTAATCCAAAATATCTGGAAGACAATAGAGAAGGGAAGGTCGGCATAAAACACCTAGCAGCAGCAATCATTCAGCCAGATGTCTCTCCTGGGTAAACCTGGGGCTCAGGTGATGATTTCTTGCGTGCAAAGTGTGTTCAGTTACAGCTGCTTCCTTTCCCTCTACATTTTGATACTGGGCATGTTAAGACCTAATTTTTAGTAGGTCTGTCAACCAGTTAAAGGGTTTAGTTATTTCATCAACTGTGTTCAACTGGTTAATTCATTAATGAATTAAAGATACAGATACTTGCACATTATGAAAACGAAGTAGATGACTCACTGTGGAGACTGAATATAGTTTGAGATAACTTACAATATAATAAGTAAAATTAAGAAAAGACTGTATTTAAATTTTTCTTTTCCATCCCCTATTACAGTTAGTTAGAAATAAATTGAACCACAGTTCTATAGAGGCCACTTCTATTAATGCTGTTTTTTCTCAAGCACCTGCATGAAAAGTAAAAGACTAAAAAGGGCAAACCTTGCCAAATCTATTTTAGGGAACATTTGAACTCCGAGTTAGAAAGTTCGTTGACCTACTGCTAATTTTGTCATTTAGCAAAATCTGGATTCAGAATATTAGGAAGTGGGCGCTAGGTATATGGAAAACGCTCCCCTATGAGCTCTTTACATCCAGGCACCAGTCAAGATCATCCATTGTAGTTCAGAGTCCAGAAGGCTTTTGTACAGAGTTGTTTTATTCTGCTGTCATATTAAAGCTGCAGCCCTCAACACGCTTATTAAGGCATGAATTCTATTGAACATAATGGGGTTCTGAGTAAATATGCCGACAGGCCTGGCCCATGGTTTGAGCAGGGGGAGGTGCCTCAACCTCCTGCCTACTTGGAGGAACCCATCTTTCTTCTTCTTTTTTTCCTTCACCTTTAAAAAAGTTGCTTTTATTTACTGTTTGTTTTTAGCTATATTTATTTAAAATGCTATTTGCTTTAAACTGACAATTAAGCAAAAAGAGAGAGAGAAATCCATATATCTATAACAAAACAGAGCTAGAGCAATTCTTAGTTAGCCATTTTGTTTCCTTTTTCTTAGTAGCATTGTTGGAAGAGTGTGTGTATTTGTGTGGGGGTGTGTGTGACACCAGTAAACAAGTCTCTCTTACAAATATCACTCAGCTACTAAAAGGAACAAAGAAGAGAAACCAAACTGGTCTGTTTTCTTCAGTGAGGCTTCTGTGAAAAGGCTTCCCTCAAAACCAAATTATAGCAGCACGATAATGGCATGGAACAGGGCACTCACTCTGGTGACTCAAGTATGTCATTTGCGGAAAGGGCAGGCAATGACAAGACAAGAGTAATGAACGTACGCTTGTCACCTCCCTCCTCTGTAACCCCAGCAACCCAACCAGTTCTACTTCTCCTCCCAAGAGCAGAACGTCTCGCCTCCTTCGTCAGTCCTTCTTGAACTTTTCTTTGGACAAAAGCCCACTTAGAGCTAATTTAAACTTGTGTGTGTTTATGATTGGGATTGATGTCTAGGAGAAGCTAATACAGTAAAGGGCTAAAATCGTTTTAGAAACCTTTAGACTGATAAAATCCAGATCATCAAAAGCTGAATGTAAGAACTTTGATAGGTAGAGCTGTTGCTTTTCATCTCATGTCCTCAGATTATTAATCCTATAAAGCTGGAATTATTACCTGATATGACAATAGAGACATTAAATACATTGGCTCCTTGTAGCAAGGAAACAGGAAGCCCACTATGTTCTGCTTTCGCTTAATGCAGAACCTTGTAATGGCCATGGCCAGATGTTGAAACCGACTGACATCAAACAACAGGGATCATTATAGCATGCAATCACCCCATTTAGAATTTTCAACAAGCTAAGCAGAAAGCCATTATTTCCACCTTTAGTATAAAGTTTTCCTCGGGCTGTAAATGGAGCTCTGCAACGGACTGGCGTACCAGCTGTTCCAACTTCAGATCCCTTTTCGGTGGGACTTCCAGCAATGGGAACAAATCATTGATCAGGCCCAGAAATATGGGGACATCATTAGTGACTAACTTGGGTAGATTAAAATCCCTGAGGGCTCTCATCAAAACCTTCAGAAAGACCAACATCAGACCATAATTAACTGAAATAATAACAAACCATAATATAAGGCATAAAATTAACAAACATAATGAATTAATCATACTTAAACAATTACAACCCATATGGCTTGTTAAACTCAATCTGCTACCTGCAGTGACATTGACTGGATCCTGTAAATGGAATGCTACAACACCCTCCCAGCCCCCATCTCAGGGCAGTGACATAGTTTTATGAATGAGAAACATGAGGCCTTAAAGTCATAGCAGGGAGGGAATTATTTATCTCTTTAAAACCAGTGAATTGGGTCAAGTGTAGGAATGACTACTACATTTTCTGGCATGTTTTAAAACTAGAATTATTTTCGTAATATACAGAGATGCATGTTATTTATTTAAAACATCAGCAAAAAATTGATGAGACCAAAAAACCAGCCCACCCAAAAAGGCTGTCCAGCACAACAGAAGGGTGCTAACCTGAAATAAAAACGAAAAGGACTGGTGCATCTACTGAAGCTATCTAGCAAGGAGAGACGATAGTCCCAGGATGTAAAAATGGGTATCCGTATTTTATCTGGAAAGGAGTGGGAAACTGTCCTTAAAAAATCCTCAGAGACAGATTCAATACATTGAAGGCAAGAGGAGAAGGGGACGACAGTGGACAAGATGCTTGGACAGTCTCATCGAAGCTACCAACATGAATTTGACCCAACTCCGGGAGGCAGTGGAAGACAGGAGGGCTTGGTGTGCTCTGGTCCATGGGGTCACGAAGAGTCGGACACGACTAAACAACCAAACAACAACAACAACAAAGAGCCCAATGCGTTTTGACTAATATATTTCCAGCCTTTTTCAGGGGCACTAATATTGCACTTGTATTGAATCTGTCTCTGAGGATTTTATCTGAGAAGGAGTGGGAAATTGTCCCTAAAAAATTCTCAGAGACAGATTCAATACAAGTGCAATCTTAGTGCCCCTGAAGAAGGCTGGAAATATATTAGCTGAAACGCGTTGGGCTCTTACCTTTGAATAAAATACAGTGGTGCCTCGCATTACGACATTAATTCATTCCAGCGAAATTGCTGTAGAACGAAAATGTCATAATGCAAAATAAAAAAGCCCACAGAAGCGCATTAAAACCCGATTAATGAATTCCTATGGGCTTGAAACTCACCGTCCAGCAAAGATCCTCCATAGCGCGGCCATTTTCGCTGCCCATGCAGCGAGGAATCCGTGCCAGAAAAGAGCGGGGAGCCATTTTTTAAAACCCGGTGGCCATTTTGAAACCGCCAATCAGCTGGCCGAAAATCGTTGTTTTGTGAGAATCGGTTCCCGAAGCAGGGAACCGATCATCGCAAAGCAAAATTTCCCCCTAGGAAACATTGTTTTGCGATCACTTTCGCGATTGCAAAAAGTTTTTCATAATGAGATTTTGTCGTTAAACGGGGCGCTCGTCTTGTGAGGCACCACTGTACAGATAACCATTTTTACATCCTAGGACTATTGTTTCTCCTTGCTAGACTGCTAACCTGAAATAACAATAGACTATCGTTTCTCCTTGCTAGACTGCTAACCTGAAATAACATTAAGAATGAAAAGAGAGAGAGAGAGAGATGAGCAGCAGCAGCAACAACCATTTCTTCCCTCACTAATGTATACTTTAATTTAGACAACGAGGTAGACAGTAGAAGACATGGAAGAAGAGACACGTTCAACAGGAATGCAGTGAGCAAACACAGGCTGTGGTCACACTAGCAATTTGAATGCATTTCAGGTTCAAGTCTTGTGGTATTTCAAAGTGCCCGTGTTCATATGCACTGAATGGAAATCAATTTATTTCTGGTGATTTAAACTGGTTTTTGTGTCTAGACTGCTGAAACTGACTTCCTTCCTTTCTGATTAGGAGCATGCTATTCTTAAAGATTTTGAAAACCCCCCCCAAAAAGTAAATGATACATAAAGTGTCTAGGAGGTGCCACCTGCTAAAACACTGGAGAGGGGACTCCAGCCAACTAATGACGAAAAAAATGAGAATGCAGGGGGAAGGCATCCAGCTGCTGTGCAGGGCAATGCACAAGGAATGTCCTCCATGTCCAGGCACGCCCGTTTTGCACCTGCTGGTCTTTTGTCGCTTCACTGGCTCCTTCATCAGCCAAATGGAGAGAATGGGGTAGGTGGTTTTGTTGCTGATGAAGTGATGCAGCAATGAACATTTCAAGAAAGAATGTTTTTTTAAAAAAAATAAAGGAAAAAATGTTAGTGCCCCCAAATTAAAACGACAAGCAGCATTCACATCCATAAACCTGCATTGAATTGAATCCATTTTAGAAGCGAGGTATTTTTAAAAGCCCCTGCCAGCCAACTGAAAAAACTTGCTTTGCAGTCCATGGAAATCGATTTCACCCTTGTGAACAATAAAATCTAAATTGATTTAAATGACACTTACATGCGGTTCTTATTGCCAGTGTGACTGCAGTTACTCTTAAATTTGGTGGTTACTGAGAATGGGGGTTCAGGAAAAAAGGCTTCATTCAAAAAGAATCTTTTGAAGAAGGAAGGAAGGAAGGAAGGAAGGGAGGGAGGGAGGGAGGGCATTCATTGGGGGGGCAATCTGTGCATCCAGTGAAGAAAGGGCAAAGGTGTGGAGAAAATACAAGGTCTTCAAGAGATGGAGGGCAGCACAGCCAGAGGTGTAAACACTGTGAGCAGGAAATAAAGAGTTAATAAGGAACTGAAGGATAGAGCAAACAAGGCTGTGGAAAACCTGAAAGATGATAGGACAAGAGTTCACACACACACACATACAAGGAAGAGAATGGGAAACTCCTGGAGGAGTCCTTAAGGACTGAGGAAGTCATGTGGTCTGAATGACAGGAGGGAGGAATAACTATGGCAACAGAATTTGGGAGAGAGATGGGAGGATGAAGAGGTGAGGCAGGGAGGCTGAAGTAGGAAAGATGGAAAGGGACAGAGCAGAGATGTAGCTGAGGGGTCAGTGATTAGAGCAAAACTCCAACACTATTTATGACGCTGATAGTTCTTTCTATAGCCATCTTGCTTAATCCATATCAAAAAAAATAAGGCATTTTAGGAAGGTAACCTGATCCTCAGGTTTGCTTCGGTCTTCTCGTTTCAGAGATCCAGCCACAACTAGAACAGATTTTATGGCTCTAAGACCCCAGTCATAGTGATCCTATGAATAATTTTAAAAAGGAGAGAAAGCACAATCAACTTGTTTTTTAAAGAATAATTTAAGAAAAGTTTTGATAGCAAATATCAATAATTTATACAATACACAATCAGGCCTATGCAAATATACAGAGAAGGAAATTCAGATGATTTCAGTTGGCACTTAATTTTTTTCAGTTAGTCAATGAGTTACAGTATTACCAAAGAAATATTACTAAAATGAAGGTAGGACATTTTGTTTAGCTAAATTATTGAAAAAGTAATAATGATTGTATTTCAAACTTTGAAATGTTGGGTTAGATCCATATTTAAGCTGGAAGAAGAAGGTTTCTCCAACTGGTTGTTGTGGGTTTTTCGGGCTCTTTGGCCGTGTTCTGAAGGTTGTTCTTCCTAATGTTTCGCCAGTCTCTGTGGCCGGCATCTTCAGAGGACAGCACTCTGTGCTCTGGTGTTGTTGGCTTGGGAGTGCCAAGATGCTGGCCACAGAGACTGGCAAAACGTTAGGAAGAACAACCTTCAGAACACGGCCAAAGAGCCCGGAAAACCCACAACAACCATTAGATCCCGGCCGTGAAAGCCTTCGCGAATACTTTTCTCCAACTCTTTCATTTTCAATAACCTCTGATTCAGCCCCCAGAATCCTACACAAAGGTCTGGGAATCCTGATTAATGAGATAGTTTGTGACGAAGGGCTGAGGAGGAAGCAGTTCCCCAAATTCCTGGAGAAGAATTTTATACCAGTGGAGTTCTGAACTCCTGAGAACAGGAAAAAGCAAAAATGTCTGTTACCACCAGCCTTGTTATTTTTACCACCAAGAACAACAACAAAAAATACTTCCTTCTCAACTACTACTTCTACAACCCTACATGGGTATTATGGTTTTCCGTGTATAAGACGCTCCCATGTATAAGGTGCCCTCCACTTTTCTAGTCCAAAATGAAGAAATCTAAGTGGGGCTTAGCAAGTGTAGAGGGAAAGGGATCAAAGCACTGGAGGATCACTTTGATCCCTGCTTTCCCCTTCAATTGTTTTTGTTCTCTCCTCAGCTTACTTCCGTGTATAAGACAACCCTCGATTTTTAGTCTAAAGATTTTAAACAAAAGTATAGTCTTATACAGAGAAAAATACGGTATTTGCAACAAATAATATCACGAGGAACAAAATGGCTCCTGAAATGCTGCTACAGTGAAGAAATCATGACCCATCAGTTCTGGCTAGACGTAAAGCAAAATGACACCAACTGCATTGCATTCCAACAAATCAATGAAGTGACTGGATGGTGTTCTAAAGTACTGTCTTAATTTGGGTTTTGAATAGTCATTCTCTGTGCTAGTAGTTCTCATAGATGAGATATGAATCTCTTAAAGAGATTTCTTAGCATCCATACAAAATTTTGTTTAACACTTTTCTCTAGGACATACCATGGCAGCAGAGGTACTATAAAATCAATGCAAATGTATGGTATGTAGATGGTCAAGAGGGTGCATTTAATTCCCACAGTTATTTCTGATATCATTTCTGAGTGCTTATAAGTACAGATATTTGAATTAGAATAAGTAGTCCTTTATGTATTACTATATATTCTTTTTACAAGACCCTATCCTACCAAATGCTATTATTAGCTTAACATTTCCATACATTCACCCGAGAAATAGGTATGAGTAAAGTGCAAAAATAAAACAGGCATGGTTAGCCATTCCCATTGTTGGTTTTTGTCAGTCAATAATTAAACAATAGAACATGTTCTGGCTGAAACTGTTACGTATAAATAATCACATTTTACTAAAGAACAGATGGTGACCTCAGAATAAAATCCTTTTGATTTAAAAATATGGGTGGATTTGAAAACATTCTACTAAGTTCACTTCATTCACCTCCTATGGCGAGTAGAGCTTTTCGGTTTACTCGGCCATTTTTAAGTCAATGGACTTTCATAAGATCCTCATCATGCTTTACTTGTTTTGATGTTTAAGAGCCCTCGAGAGCTTCTCAAAAAACGACAGTACAAATTTAAAAACTACGAAAGAGTTTGCTGCCCTTCAAAAAGTTTAACATGACCCGCGGCATCTGGGTAGAGTTCTGTCATAGGTAATTTCATTTTTTGTTTTGTTTTGTTTGCTTTTATTTTGGCCAGAATCCAACTGAATATTTACATCTGTGCAAATGGGTTAGTATATTTTAGAGCGGCAAATAATACCTAGTATTTGGGTACTCCATGTGCTAATTATGCAGGTGCAAATATTCCCTGGGGTTCCTGATGCCATTTTCCCCCACCTCCTTTTTTTAAAGCAGTATTGCAAACCACCTTGACAATCAGCCCTTGGATGACAGGAGGAAAATAAACCAAACCAGAAACATCAACTTGTCACCAATCTGCAAGTACCTGTTTGGATAGGAGTTCATGGCAAAGCTTGTAGAGGCAGATAAACTTTCTAGAAAGCAACCGGGCATCCACAAATCCTTCTGCCACAAGCATTATTTCACAAATAAGCTCGAAGTCTGGAATCACCATTGCACAGGGTCTGTCGAATTGACATGGTGTATTAAAAGGCAGCCACTTACAAGAATCAGATCACCAGCCTTTATATCTTTTCTCACTTATCAAGTCAAACTCTGCCCATGCTCATTTCTTGCCATTGGTGCAATGCACAGAGAAGATGGATGAAAAGTCTGCTCTCATGGACTTCTAGCATGACCAAACCCGAATGCTTCTGGAAAGACACCGGTAAGTAAAGTCATTGGAAGCAGAGGCTGCCACACCAGGGGGGGTTGTGAGAACACACCCTAAAAACTATTAATAAGGCTGACTTAATTTGCTTCCTGGACAATGGTCTTTTCGGAACTGTCCCAAGACAGTGATAAAGAATAACATCTCACACCCCTCGTCCAGTGTACAAGAACCAGGAAGACTGGCCGTTGAATTTTATTTCAACTGTGGCTCAAGTTTAACATGAGCACATGAGATGGCGCAAGGTCCTCCACAGCACAAGGGGGCAGCAGGCTAGTGTAACAGGTGCAGTACAGGCTGTGCAGAGTACACAGCTCTGTCTTCTATCAAGACTCAGAAGACATGTTTAGTATGGGACTACTGACCTGATATTCACATGGATGTTTACAAAAAAAAAATCATGGACAAAGGTAGGAACAAGACAAAAAAACAGAGTTGTGTAGGGACACATGTGAGTCTGGCATGGACTAGAAATAGCCCAATTCACCCATCTGTACTGTAATTACAAATAAATATTACCAACCAAGAATAAAAGATTGAAAATAAACAAGTTGGATCCAGACATGCTCCTCTCCATAAAGAAAGCAATGAGCGCTGACACAACAGAACAGTTTTGCACCTCACACTGCAGTGCTACACAACCCAAAAACATGACACTAAGACTAAACATACACTTTCCTTTGCAAACCAGGTTGTGAAAGAATTCATGGAACATCTTTTCCAAGAGGAAACATGGCCAAACCATGGTCTGAGCAGGATGCCTCACCTTGAAATGAAGAACCATATGGATTGTGACAGAAACTTCCATTAGAGCACCAGGTGGTCTATAGCATGCTACCTGTCATGCACTGTTTTCCTTCTCCCCTGTGTATGTGTGTATTTTCTGAATTCAACCCAAAAGTTTCATATTCTTGAACAATTCTATACTGACCGAAAAAGAGCTTTAAGATTTTCTGGAAGTTCTGCTCTTCCTGCATAACCTGGGTTCAGAGTTATGAAGATCCCCACCGTGGCTTTCAGTTCAATCATCTCACCTAAAAAATTAAATCTGTGGGAAAGGGTGAGTGAGGCCATGGTAAAGGAAAAGGTTAATAATGAATGATAGCAGGAAGGAGAAAAACGGCAATTGGGCATGGGGAGAAATTATATTGTTTCAACCCACCTTTTCTTCTTGTGACGAATAGCATCCTGAATAGTTTTAACCTGAAGAGCAACAACAGAGAGCACCTCCACAGAAATGCGATTGAACTCATCAAAACATCCCCACACGCCAGTTTGGCACAACCCTTTGTAGATATTCCCAATTGACTAAGGAAGAAACAAAAGAAGGAAAAATATGAAACGGAACTCTTACATTGTATCTTCAGAGAGGCAGATCTATCATAAAGGTTGGGAAAACTGTGGTTTTGAAAAGCCTAAAAAACCTTTTTCCAAGTTCTGAGGGTAAGCCGATGTAGTAAAGTAATTGCGTCTTCCAGATGTTTTTGGCCTACAATTCAAGTTAGGCCTAAGCAATATAGCTAAAGTAAGGGATTGTGGGTACCCCTGTTTAATAACATCTGGAGGGCCACCTTTGGAGTAAAGGCTAGACAAATGTCTATTTTTTTTGCAAGAGAACCTAAGGCAATATGCTATATCCTTAGTGATTGAAGCAAAAAAACAACAAGAAGTTGGTTTAAAAAAACAACAACACCATTATGTTTATGTTATAAAGTTCATTTCTCTGGTCCCTAACAATAAGTATCAGGAAATCTTTAAATTAAACTGTGCAGCAGCCATGTCATACGGTAATTTGAACACATAATCTAATTTACAATGTAGGCTAAAATGAATTAGAAAAAAATTCATTGTTTCTCTATGGCTCTGCTCCCCATATGCTGTTCTGGAAAAGTCTAGCTAGAAGAATTCTGTGCTCCATATAATTCTTAACCTTTCAATCACACTAATTTGAAATAGATAAATTTGGCACAGTACACTAGACATCAACAAGGCCCGGATTGTTTGCTTCTGCCTACGCTTGACAGACGTCCGGCAAAAGGAGGACATGTTCTCTTTTTTAGCTTAATGTCCTCTGTCCGGCAGACAAAGCTAAAAACCTTAAAATGTCCGGCTTTTGTAATATTTTATGTTATAATTTTGGACGGGAGGGGGAAAGGTGGAAGGTGGAAAGCAGTCTCTGATGGAATCACAACCTAAGACACCACTTTGAACTGTAAATCAGCCATGCCCACGTGGAGCTTTTGCTTCTGGAGGTGACTTCCAGCTTCGTTTTGAGCAAGCTGCGTGTAAAGATTAGCAAGGAAAGGAGAGCAAGATATATATACTGATACTTATACACACACACACACACACACACACCACAAGTGAGAGGGAACTGGCAAAAGAAAAGGACAGAGTCGAGAGAGAGCAGCGGTTGGAAAAGGGCAGGATCTCTTTTTTTTTTTAAGGGGGAAAAAGTTTGTGGGTTTGCCCGGAGGCATTTGAGCGAGCAACAGGAGTCGAGAAAGGAGAGGTAGTTAAGGCAGCTAGAAAAGATTGAGGAAGGCTGGCGGAGAAGAGGTGAAGCTGCAGGGAAGGAAAGCCAGGGCAAGAGCGGGGCTTCATGCCATGCGCCTGCCAGAGAAAGAGGGAGAGGGAAGCAGAAGAGGCAGCAGCTGTCACTGCCGCCACCGCAGCAAAAGGAGGCAGGAAAGAAAGGGGAACCTTCTCGCAGAGCTCACCTCGGTGCGAGTGAAGGAGCAACAACAGCAGGCGCCGGGATATGTCGGGTAATTAATAAAGATTTTAAGGTAATAATTGTTCAATTGGCTGTTTAAATAATGCTTTTTTTTGTATTTTGAAAAAAGCCTCCATTGAATTTATTTTTATTTTTTAACATGAGTATTTCTTGGTTGGTTCACTAAGAGACATTTATTGGCAGCTATAGTAATAAAATTGCATTGACTGTGGGTTTAATCAAGAACGATTCAAATGAAACATTCAGTACGTCTCCTCTGCCCTCTTTTTTGTCTTTCTCTGTCCTTCTTTTGGTACCCATGTATCTGGCAACCCTACTTCTGCCTGCATCCACAGGTTTTTAACTTTGCTCTTCCCTGGGACCTTATGCTGAAGAGTGTTTTCTAAATTAATAAAACAATCAAATAAATGTTGCTGGATTCTATGAGCAGCTGTTTCAGTGCCCCTGCCAGGGACTGTTGTTACGTAACAATTTTGGTAAAGAAACCATTAGGGCATTCCATTAGGGCTGCCTCTGGCAACCTGTTTTTGATCCCCGTCCCCTGTCCACTCCATGCCCTCAGTTAACATGAATGTTACACCACCCAGACCATTCCTATTCCCCCAGGCACGGGCTGGCAGAGCCGGGCATAAAAGTGGATATTCAGACACACTGACATGTGCAGACAAGCAAGCAAGCAAGCAAGCAATCCAGCCAGCCAGCCAGCCTTCATACAGACATACAGTAGAAGGGTAAACCAAGGCTCAGCCAGTTTCCAAGGCCAGCCCCACTACTGAGTTTTATTGATTGGGAAAGAGTAGTTGTGGTGTCCGCCCAGGTCATGAATATTCATGTACAGTGGTGCCTCGCTTAACGATGTTAATTGGTTCCCAAAAAAACATTGCTATGGGAAAACATCACTAAGCGAAACACCATTTCCCATAGGAATGCACGGAAAACCGGTTAATCCGTTCCAATGGGAACGGATTACCGTCCTTAAGCGAAAATTGCCATAGGAAACATCGCTAAGCGAAACAATGTTTCCCCCATTGGAATGCATTGAAGCCTATTCAATGCATTCCAATGATTTTGCGATGTCCATTTTCGCTATTTTTAAAGTGTCTTACAATGTTCAAAAACTGTTTTTAATGCTTGGGATCGTTAGTGCACCTTGTAAAACCTTTGCAAACTTAATTTGGCTTTGTTCTGACTCTTCGTTAATTTTTGGTGAATTTCCTCCCCCCATTGAAATGCATTGAACTGGGGCTATTCTAAGAAACTTTGGTACCTGACAAAAGGGGCAAAATGGTGCCCTCTCTGCAGGCCAGCTTCAGAAGTAGACTGGACAAACAGTTGGCTCTTCCTCCAGCACTGTTGGTGGGAAGGCAGCAACCTCCACCACACCTAAGGAAGGGCCCTGGATAAGCTATGTGGCATATATACATCTGCCCTCCAACAGAGAATAGTTGTTCAAGTATTCATGAGGAAGAGCTGAGAGATTTGCCACTGCTGCCCGCCACTGTGCCTAAAAGTAAGGCAGGTCATGGAAAGAAGTGGACACAATGGTGTGATGATTTCTTCAGTGAACTGCCGTGGTGGAAGAATACAATATGCAGGGATCCACATGGAATTGGAGAAAGGGACAAAGAAGGATGTGAGCACTCTGGTGGTAGAGCCAACTAGGCGGGTTTGTGTTTTAACTTGGAGCTCCATGTTGTGATAGGATGAGCCTTCATATGATCAGATTCACCTGACAAAAGGTAGGCTTTGCTTTGATAAATCCCGTGAGTACAGCATCCAAATGAATAAGAGGTCAGTGTCCCTGTACCTTTAATAGCTGTGTGGTGGAGGGCACTTTAGCAGGTGCAGCTTCCACTGAAAGCTACATGGGCTGAAATTTCCTCTTCCAAGCAACTGTTGAAGGTATAGGAGCCCTGCCCTCTTTTTTCATCCAGTCACCACATGTCGTGGAGAAACAGATTTCAGTACAGTGTACAAAATGCAACTACAAATGTTTTCTGGCCCTGCGGAAATATTTCAGAAAGGCTTCTAGATATAATGCACTTTCAGGTATGTGGTTTAGGCTCTTCTTCATCTATAGCAGATTCATGGGGACCAGAACGCAGTCCCTGGTTTTCCAGGGACCCCTTCAGATTTCTTAGAAAAGAAGTAACTTCCCTCTGTTCTCGATTACAGCTCACCTTTGTATTCAGAAAAGTAGATGCAAATGTTTTCATGCTTTGTAAATTTTTGGAATTAATTAACGGAATTCAATTAACAAGAACCAGAGTCTACCTATTTAAATTTCCATACTCATATGGTCTCCATTATCACAGTATTCAAACCATTTTAATGTATGTATCAATATATCACTCCTATGTGCAAGGTTGCTTTGCTGAATTATTTTGTATATGAAGCTGTAGCAATTTAATATTATTTAAAAGGCTGTCTGAATACTTTTAATACCATTATTCCACAAACTTGAAGGCTCTGAAGAATATTATTCCAGCAACAATTCTTAAATTCTTCATATAGCTACACAAGGGAGTGTGTTTCATTTACTGGGCAAATGAATTAGCAAAACTCACAAATGCTCGACTACTAGAGAAGTACATCGTTTGTTATCAATGGACCATTCTGTGATAGCAGAACAAGCTTCATCCTGGATAAACTGAATCAGCCCCAGACCATTGTGATTTTTCTTTTTCTGCAGAGATACTCTTCAGATGGTAACAGAAACCTCAGCTGGATGGGATGCTTCGGCTCACTTGGTGATGTGCCTAAATGACTGTACTCTTTGTGGATCAGGGAAGTTGCCTGAAACATCACCATTGTGCAGGCTCTACTTGTGACAGTTCCTTTGACCTGTAGAAGGGATTCAGTGGCCCCTGACCAGCAAAATTCATTCATAGTGTCAATGTGGAAACAGATGTAGAGATCTTACCTGAATGCTTACTCTGCCTTGTTAAATACTTATCTAGAGCTGCTCAGAAATATTGTATAGTACCCTTAAGTTTAGGAAACCCAACTTTGGAATCCATAGTTCCCACCATCACTGCTAATCATCATTGTCATCTTCATTTCTTTACTTCTCATGCTTTCCAATTCTTACAATAATTTACATATACAGTATGTTTGCTAATCTGCGTTAATGAATTTCCAAGTGATGTTTTTTAAAAACATTTGAGCAAATACATTACCTTATAATCCATTTGTTCTGAACAGTTGAAGACATAGACCATCATTCCCAGAGAGCGGCCTAAGTCTTTGGTGGTTTCTGTTTTTCCTGTTCCTGCAGGGCCTGACAATGCACCGCTCATAGTCAAGTGAAGAGACTGTGTCAACGTAATATAGCATCTGTAGGAAGAGAAACATGTGCCTGAACATCTGGGAAGACAACAGAGTAAATATACTGGAATCCAGCTCTTGGTTTCTGCAAATAAGGAAGGATACTGGTCATAATTTATACATTAGGTGTATGTAACTATTTTATGCATCAGTAGAGCAACTGCCATATGGTATGCACCATTCTCAGATCTACTCAAGTAACATTTCCTGTAAATTTCAGATTAATCAAAAGAACACAGAAACACATGGGATGAGTTTTTACCATGTAAATATAAAAATTGTGTTAATAATTGCTCTACATTTATTTGTAGGATCTCATAGTTTTAGCTCAATCAACCAAAAACAAATAAAAACCCAGTGTCTTGCTTTAAGGCCAGGAGAAGTGTTTCAGAAGTGCAAGTGGATTGTGGTCAAGCCACTGGCACTAAGCTGGATTTCCTGCCACATAGGATTGAGTAGAGATGGGCATTTAGTCAAAATATTTGCTCTTGAAAGCCTCCAGCTACGGTTCTTCTGTAGAACAAAGTGTGGGAGACAAGCTCCATGTGTCGGGTGCAATTTTATTTCCTCCAGGGCCCCCCAAATAGGCAGTAACATCACCTAAAATGAATTTGGAAATAGGCAAAAGCCCACTTTTGGTTCTGTAAAGATCTCTTTGAGGGATTTTCTCAATGCAGTTGCTTATGGTTACAAAAAACCCTCCTTAAGTTAGCAACAACCACATCCGTCTGAAAGAACCAGACTTCTAGAAAATACTTGGCAGGCTAATTCGTCCATGCGTTAGTAGTTTTAAAACCTACCATCTCTGAAAGACAACTGTACATACATCTGCAAATGTATTATTGCCATCTGTTTTATTAACATTTGTGGTGATTTTAGACCTATAGCTGTGCTTCCCAACCTTGGTTTCCCAGATGTTTTTGGACTGCAGCTCCCAGAAATCCCAGCCACTGCAGCTGGTGGTGAAGGCTTCTGGGAGTTGTAGTCCAAGAACATCTGAGTTACTGAGGTTGAGAGTGACTGATCTAGAGGAATGGAATGTGACGGCCTCCGGATCTTATTGGGCTGAAGTTCAATCTGTCATAGCCAGCATGGCCAATGGCAAGTTGAAGGGTCACATGCTTCTAAATCCTGAAGGCTTCTTTAGCATCAGGTAGGCAACTTAGATAAGTGTGGTCTGTACTGTATGATGACTGTATGTTGGCCACTGCTAAGCCAATCAACTGTTGGGAAACTAACAAGAGAAGCATGGAGTTGGATTTTTTCCCCTTTGGAACTCTCTCAGCTGGTAGCACTCTGATCCACTGGTTAGAAATGACCTATGACAGAGTTTCTTTAATTAAATGAAATTAAAGGAAACCAGGGTGTAATTGGTTTTTTTTTAACTGCTTTTCGTCTACTCTCATAGAACAACGTTGGAATATTGTATCTGTTTTTCATTTCAGCCACACTGCACACACACACACACACACACACACATGGCAAAATGAAATGAACTAACCATAACAGCTACCAGCCAAAACAGCTAGTTTGAGTCCATCAGGGTTGGCATGGCAGACAAAGAACCAATATCATTTATCCAAATGACAACTCTACACTGGTTTGCAAATGCTTTCTCGTGGAACTCTTCAAACATGTGGGAAGATACAGCTTAGGGGTAATTCTCTCTGTATAACAGTAAAGTGTTAAAATCTGATGAGACTGATATTTTTGGAGCTCCTTTCCCCATTTCTCTTACTAAAGTAAATGTGTCGCAATGAACATCTGTGGACATCCTTTCCATGTCCACACCTCTGCCCTATCCCCTTAACCATTTATTCAGCCTCTGTCGAGAAAGCTTTCTAGGCTTCCTGCCACTGACATTGTTCGTCAACTTGAAGAATTTTCTTCTGTCATTTACCACCTTGAGGTTTTTCATCTCTTGTGCTAGAGGGCCCCACTAGGTCCTCCAGCTTTCTCTAAATCCTCTTCTTCCTCATTAGTCTTCTTCTCAACCCTTGATCTTCATCTCCTTCACCTTTGTGATTGTCTTTTGTTTGCTCTCTCATATCTTTGACTTCCAGAAAACCTTTTTCCTTAGCGCTACGGTACTTTTGCTTTCTTCCGTGACCATCTCCACATGATCCTCTAACCCTACGGTACTTATTATTATTACTGTATACCTGCTCTCCTTGTACTTTGCTGGTAGGGCTGCCTCCATTGGCTTCTGAAGGAGTGGGCTATTCCCTTTGTCCTTTCCTGATCACGAATCTCTACCTCTTTTTCCTTAAACTCCACAAGGTGTCCTTCTTCGTTTGTTCTTGCAGGCCCTCCTCCAGCACATTGATCCTACGGCTTTACTAAGATATAATTGATCATGTCACTCTCTACCCATTTGGCAAAATCTAAGTGGCCGGCCTTTCCTACTTTTTTTTTAAACCAGCTGTTTCTATCATGTACAATATGTTATTGTTCTTTTCAAAACTTCTAAAGTTGCACACACAAAAAGGCATGGGGAAGGATACCTGGGGGGCTCGGTTTTACAACTTATGCGGACTGATTCATCGTTAAAAGAAAAATTGTCCCTAGCACCTTTCTCTTGAAGGTCACAGGAAATGCCCCAACATGTTATAAAGAAGGGGAGAAAAAGTTTTCCCTAATCCAGAACTTTGAAAAAAGCATGATGGAATAGTATTTCTTTTATGCACTTTTACTGCGGGAAGGGGAGATTTAGTCCCCCTCTTTTTTTGCAGTTATGGAAATATAACTATATTATATTACTTTTATTTATTTATTTGATTTATACCCCGCCCATCTGGTCTGGTCGACCACTCTGGGCGGCTTACAATAAAGAAAATACAATAAACCATAAACTTAAGAATGGCATGAGGTTGGAGATCATGCAAAATTTGTCATGTTAATGTTGATGATTAACCAAGTGCCTTCTTGTTGCCGATTTGCTTTCATCTCATATTACATATCAAAATAAGGACTCTATGAAGCTAAGGGCATGAGAAGGAAAAATGTCAGGATTACCCAGAGGATAATATTTTCAAGCATATGAGAGCAAGGAAATGTTGTTCCTAATAGTATTGCCTCATAACCCAACAAATTCCTTTACATTAAAGGTCATTTGGGAAAGTGGTTCAGCCTTAAGAATAAAGTACAGTACATGAAACTTGAAGGGTGACTTATAGTTTCCCACAAAAATTTTAATCTGAAGGTGAAGTTTGGTCTTAGAAGTTATGTTCTCTGATGTCAATGAAGCCAGGATAGCAACTTCAATTAATTTTAAATCAGCTCCATGACATATTTGTTTAGCATATTGAAATATGTGGTACTTTTACATGAAAACCTGATCGTGATAGTCAAAGCACTGGCATTCAAACTGAAATTTCCTTCCTTCCTTCCTTCCTTCCTTCCTTCCTTCCTTCCTTCCTTCCTTCCTAACCAACCACACTTACACA